GCCAGCTGAAGTCAAATCTCTCTGTAGATCTTTGCTGGTTTTCTTGGGATCCTTCACTCTATTTCTCATGATAACCTTGTCATCGTGAGGTGTTGTCCTGCGTTTTCTTCCACATCTTCCTCAACGCAGCGCTTCACGATCACCAGTGTCGTCAGCTCTCTTCAGAATACGACCAACAGTTGGCTTTGCTAGGCTCAAATTTTCGGCGATCTGTCTGATACTCAAATCAGCATGTTTTAAAAGATCTACAATATTTGCACGCTTCCTAAGTGTAACATCCATCATGGATTTCAGCGGTAATCATAAAATGAAGGGGAGAATTTAGCGAAACCACATTCACTCACAGATCATACTTGCAGGAAAAGCCTTACAGAACAACAGCTGTTGTAGGAGTGACGAGAATCCCAGGGTAGCACCACAGCTGGATGATTGCTAGAAATCGGTAGCAAACTCTTCTGTAAAGAAATGAACCCAAACTACATTAATTAAGCCGGAGACTATGACATATGAGATAATCACAGAATTTATTCATGTCCCAATTAATTTGCACACTACTGTACGTGATTAACGATAAAACCTTAGTGCTACAAAAGTACGAGCACTGTCATGGGGAAATAGGTACGATGTTATGCCTACTGAAGCGCTAAACCCTTAAGGGTCGCACAGCTTCTGGGGAATGAGAAGTAATGAAGTTTGATTCAAGGTAGGGGAGGTTGGTATAAATTCTTTGGATCAAAGTACCCTATTATAGCCATAGACCATGAGTACAAACAACGAGTACATGTATGATGAAAGTACTCCATACTCATATGGAAATTTAGAGTCAGGTGACTTTCTTGATACGATCCAGGATTGTTTTTTAAAACAGTTTGTGACAGAGCCAACTAGGGGAAATAACCTCCTTGACTTGGTTCTTGCCAGTAGGGAAACACTAATTAATAATCTTGAGGTTAATGATGAGCTTGGGGTAAGTGATCACAAATCACTCAGTTTTAATATATCATGGAATTCCCCTAATAATGGCAATCAAGTCTCCGTCCCTGACTTTCGCTTGGCTGATTTCATAGGACTGAAAAATTACTTAGGTGGGCTGAACTGGAATGACCTGACTAAGGGTCAGGTAGGTGGTGATGGTTGCCGATATGATGCTTTCCAGGGCATAGTTCTAGCTGCTCAGTCAAATTATGTTCCAAATAGGGAAATCAGATCAAACAAAAATGATCCTAATTGGATGAACAATAGATTAAAATATCTGATTGGTCAAAAGAGAGGCATATATAGGCAAATCAAAAGAGGAGAGGGGCAATTAAGAAATCGATATATTCAGTTAAAGAGAGAAATAAAAAAGGGAATTAGAAAAGCAAAAAGAGATTATGAGGTTAAAGTTGCAAGAGAATCGAAGACTAACCCAAAAGGATTCTTTCAGGTATACAGAAGTAAGATCAGGGACAGATAGGCCCACTCAAAAGTTCCTCGGGTCAGCTCACTGACAGTGATAAGGAAATGTGTAGAATTTTTAACACATACTTCCTCTCAGTTTTTACACAGGAGGATACCAGCGATATTCCAGAAATGATAAATTATGTAGAACAGGACGATAATAAACTGTGCACGATTAGGGTCACAAGTGACATGGTCCTTAGGCAAATAGATAAATTAAAACCTAACAAATCCCCAGGCCCTGATGAACTGCATGCAAGGGTTCTAAAGGAATGTAAAGAGGAGCTTAGCAAACCTTTGGCTAATCTTTTCAACATATCGCTACAAACTGGCATGGTGCCAGATAAGTGGAAAATGGCAAATGTGATACCTATTTTTAAAGCAGGTGACAGGTCCTTAGCTTCGAACTATAGACCAATAAGCCTAACCTCCATAGTGGGAAAATTTATGAATCAATAATTGCCGAGGCAGTTCGTTAGCCACCTTGAAAAGCATAAATTAATCAACGAATCTCAGCCATGGTTTTACAAAGGGGCGTTCCTGCCTTACGAATTTATTAACTTTTTTCACTAAGGTATTTGAGGAGGTTAGATCATGGTAATGAATATGATATTGTGTATATGGACTTCAGTAAGGCTTTTGACAGGGTCCCCATCAGAGACTATTGAGGAAAATTAAGGCACATGGAATAGGAGAGAAATTTTTTCCGGATAGAGGCATGGTTGACAAATAGGCAGCAGAGAGTTTGCATAAATGGGGAAAAGAATCAGAGTGGGGAAGCGTCACGAGCGGTGTTCCACAGGGGTCAGTGTTGGGCCCCCTGCTGTTCACAATCTGCATAAACGACATAGATGAGGGCATAAAGAGCGACATCGGCAAGTTTGCCGATGACACCAAAATAGGCCGTCGAATTCATTCTGACGAGGACATTCGAGCACTCCAGGAAGATTTGAATAGACTGATGCAGTGGTCGGAGAAGTGGCAGATGCAGTTTAATATAGACAAATGCAAAGTTCTAAATGTTGGACAGGACAATAACCATGCCACATATAAACTAAATAATGTAGATCTTAATATTACAGATTGCGAAAAAGATTTAGGAGTTCTGGTTAGCAGTAATCTGAAACCAACACAACAGTGCATAAGTGTTTGCAATAAAGCTAATAGAATCCTTGGCTTCATATCAAGAAGCATAAATAATAGGAGTCCTCAGGTTATTCTTCAACTCTATACATCCTTGGTTAGGCCTCATTTAGATTATGCTGCACAGTTTTGGTCACCGTATTACAGAATGGATATAAATGCTCTGGAAAATGTACAAAGGAGGATGACAAAGTTGATCCCATGTATCAGAAACCTTCCCTATGAGGATAGACTGAGGGCCCTGAAACTGCACTCTCTGGAAAGACGTAGAATTAGGGGGATATGATTGAGGTGTATAAATGGAAGATGGGAATAAATAAAGGGGATGTAAATAGTGTGCTGAAAATATCTAGCCTAGACAGGACTCGCAGCAATGGTTTTAAGTTGGAAAAATTCAGATTCAGGAAGGATATAGGAAAGTACTGGTTTGGTAATAGAGTTGTGGATGAGTGGAACAAACTCCCAAGTACCGTTATAGAGGCCAGAACGTTGTGTAGCTTTAAAAATAGGTTGGATAAATACATGAGTGGATGTGGGTGGGTGTGAGTTAGACCTGATAGCTTGTGATACCAGGTCGGTTGCCGTGTTCCTCCCTTAAGTCAATGTGACCTGACCTGACTAGGTTGGGTGCATTGGCTTAAGCCGGTAGGAGACTTGGACCTGCCTCGCATGGGCCAGTAGGCCTTCTGCAGTGTTCCTTCGTTCTTATGTTCTTATATGATGAATACACTTCGCGTATCATATATTCACTCACGTATGGGTACACTTCTCAGCTATAATGAGTACTCACTCACGCATTAATACACTCACCTATGATTACACTCACTCATGGCAGAAATTCTTGTTTACATTACATAGCAACGTAGGTAAGCAGAGCAGAGCTGCCAGTTAGTGGCTGTCCTTGCCTCCCAGGGTAACCCAATCACGAGGTTGACTTATCTGCCTGGTCAACCTAGTCACTAGGTTGACTTTTTTGTCTGCCTGGTCAACCTGGTCACTAGGCTGGCTTCTTGTCTGCGTAGGTAATCTAGTCACTAGGCTAGTTATATTATCACATGCAAATCTATCATTTCACTGCCATTAATTTTATAATAACAATAATTTATTTTTCAATAAACCATACCCCCGGCCGGGATTGAACCCGCGGTCATAGAGCTAATCCAGCTCCGTCGCGTAGGGTATGGTTATTTGCAATCGTGTCAGATAAGATAAGATAAGATTTCGTTCGGATTTTTAACCCCGGAGGGTTAGCCACCCAGGATAACCCAAGAAAGTCAGTGCGTCATCGAGGACTGTCTAACTTATTTCCATTGGGGTCCTTAATCTTGTCCCCCAGGATGCGACCCACACCAGTCGACTAACACCAGATCCTATTGCTGCTGGTGACGAAAGGTGTAATGGAACGTGTCGAAATTTTTCCACCCGCCGGGAATCGAACCCGGGCCCTCCGTGTGTGATTTCTTGAGTCAAGTTATTTTTCAATACGATGCATTTCTGTTACCAAACCCTCTTGCATGGAAACGACCGTAGTTAAGGAAAACATTTCTAAATATTCTCATTCATCCAACATCACTTTGTTTTTCTTAAGTTGGGGTACATAAACTTCTTAAAATTACACATTCAAACACAGATGAACATATTTAAAGTACGGTTTTTATTCGTCAAGACAAAGCGAAACAATTTGCACGCGTTTTGTACGTGTCAACAAGAATGTGTTATGAAACAGGTTCACAAGCCAATAGAAGTGTACCTATTATTATTATTATATTTCCCGGTGAGCACTAAATTCTTATGCATCTTGTAGTGCCTATAGAGTGAGATTCAGTCAGATTTGATCCCGTACAGATGAGTTTTGTCCAAACGCAGACAATATATTCTCCGAGCAGTTCCTTGCTACAGTCATACCACGGGCGGGATTGAACCCGCGGTCATAGTCTCAAAACTCCAGCCCGTCGCGTTAGCCACTAGACCAGCTAGCCACAATAAGATTCGTCCAACTAGGTATATTTCTACACCATAGGAAGGTTAGCACAGGCACCACTGTGAGATTCGTCTGTAAAAACTTGCATTTGTGGTCACAGTAGTGCCTATGGTAACCTTCCTATGGTGCAGAAATATACCTAGTTAGGACGAATCTTATTGTGGCTAGCTGGTCCAGTGGCTAACGCGACGGTCTGGAGTTTTGAGACTCTCTGACCGCGGGTTCAACCCGCCCGTGGTATGGTTTGTTTGCAATCGTGTCATTACTATTTCGTCAGCCTTGCTACAGTATTTTCCACGACTGATTTACCTACAATCTTTCAAACTACCCAGAACTCTCCACGTGGACGTGATTGTTCTCTGAGTTCCAATGTAGCCTCAAAATAAGTACATTCCTAATTTATAGATAAATTTGACAGTGTTCCACATTCCTGCAGGGTGAAGTAGTTGCACATGCAGCAGCACAACCACCACAAAATAGAAGCAGCAGGATGGGTAGCGGAAGCAGTAAACGCAAAGACAAGAGTCACTTATTAGAGACTTTGAAGGAGCACAAGGACAGCATCATGTGCCTGGCCCTCACAGATGACTCTTCCCTCCTGGTGACGGGATCCTACGACACCACAGCCTGTTTGTGGAGCACCATGAGCGACGCTACCGAGTGTCTCGGCGTACTCATGTATGTAGCTGCTTCTGCTGTGTTTTCCAGGCATCCCACCTCTCTTTATCATATACCCTATCTATCATATGATTTAATATCTATCATATACTCTAACCATCCTACTATATACACTGATCTCCAATATACTTAAGTCTGTCGATCATGTAATATTCTTTACTGCATAATCATATCATCGCCCAGTAATACTTTCGACCCCGTCTCTGAAGGCAAGAGTTAAGCCATCAGGTATCTGCCATTCAGTTATTTTTTACATTAATGATGTATCAAACAAATGATACAGGATTTCAACAGTCATATATTGAAATGATCGACAATAAGCATTATGTACCTCTTTCAGGATTACAACAATAAATATTGTGTACCTCCTCCAGACTACAATAAGCATTATGCATGTAACTTGGGATCACACTCTAAACAATGTATCTATAAACGCAATACACTTCCCCCAGAATCACAATAACAATGTGTGCTTTCCTAGATCTACGACTGCAAGCACTGTCTTCCATATAGTTATGGCTTATAAACACGCTTGCTAAGAAGCAATTCTATGACAGCACAATCATGAACAATATGTCGTCCCCATAACAACGAATATAAACATTCTACACATTATTCCCTTTCCCTTGGATCACAGCAATTAGCATTGCCTTGTAACCTCGGAGCAGCAGTACTAAATGTTGTATATTAAACAGATGGTGAAGATTCTAACACTGCTTACACTGGGTCTGAAAGGCATTCTGCACACATTATTGAGATGATTTGTTGGAACTTACTTGTTATATAGCAAAGAACTGCAGACCGATAGCGCTAACATCCCATATCATAAAAATCTTTGAAAGGGTCCTAAGAAGCAAGATCGCCACCCATCTAGATACATGGGTTTAGAACAGGTCGCTCCTGTCTGTCCCAACTACTGGATCACTACGACAAGGTCCTTAATGCAATGGAAAACAAAAAGAATGCAGATGTAATATATACAGACTTTGCAAAAGCCTTCGACAAGTGTGACAATGGCGTAATAGCGCACAAAATGCGTGCTAAAGGAATAACAGTAAAAATTGGTAGATGGATCTATAATTTCCTCACAAACAGAACACAAAGAGTAGTAAACAGAGTAAAGTCTGAGGCGGCTACGGCGAAAAGCTCTGTTCCGCAAGGCACAGTACTCGCTCCCATCTTGTTCCTGTTCCTCATTTCTGATATAGACAAGGATGTAAGCCACAGCACCGTGTCTTCCTTTGCAGATGACACCCGAATCTGCATGACAGTGTCTTCCACTGCAGACACTGCAAGCTCCAGGCGGACATCAGCCAAATCTTTCATTGGGCTGCAGAAAACAATATGAAGTTCAACGATGAGAAATTTCAATTACTCTGATATGTTAAACATGAGGAAATTAAAACTTCATCAGAGTATAAAAAAAATTCCAGCCACACATAGAGTGAAAAACTAACGTCAAAGACCTGGGAGTGATCATGTCGGAGGATCTCACCTTCAAGGACCATAACATTGTATCAATGGCATCTGCTAGAAAAATGACAGGATGGATAATGAGAACCTTCAAAACTAGGGATGCCAAGCCCATGATGACACTCTTCAGGTCGCTTGTTCTATCTAGGCTGGAATATTGCTGCACACTAACAGCACCTTTCAAGGCAGGTGAAATTGCTGACCTAGAAAATGTACAGAGAACCTTCACGGCACCTCAGTTACTGGGAGCGCTTGAAGTTCCTGAACCTGTACTCTCTGGAACGCAGGCGGGAGAGATACATGATTATATACACGTGGAAAATCCTAGAGGGACTAATACCAAACTTGCACACGAAAATCATATTCTCTGAAAGCAAAAGACTCGGCAGACGATGCAACATCCCCCCAATGAAAAGCAGGAGTGTCACTAGCACGCTAAGAGACAACAAAATAAGTGTCAGGGGCCCAAGACTGTTCAACTGCCTCCCAGCATACATAAGGGGGATTACCAATAGACCCCTGGCTGTCTTCAAGTAGGCACTGGACAGGCACCTATAGTCGGTACCTGACCAGTCGGGCTGTGGCTCGTACGTTGGATTGCGTGCAGCCAGCAGTAACAGCCTGGTTGATCAGGCCCTGATCCACCATGAGGCCTGGTCACAGACTGGGCCGCGGGGGCGTTGACCCCCGGAACTCTCTTCAGGTAAACTCCAGGTTAGAGCTGGCTTGTTAAAGCTGTAACAGAGCGAAGTGTTGAGCAAGTAATAACTTGTTCTTATCACCAGTGTCTTTTCTTTTAATATATTCACCCCAGGAGTGCCAATTTTCAGTATTATTTACTATCTTCAAAAGCAATTATTTAAAAGTACAATTTATTATTCCAGGGACCACTAATTTAACGTGTTTATTTTTCCTGCCTGCAGAGGACACACGGGAAGGATCGTGTGTGTGGCGACGAGTATGACCTTCGTCTACACTGGCTCAGAAGATTCCACCATCAAGAAGTGGGACATTTGCACCTCCGACTGTATCTTTACATACTCCGGTGAGCCACCATCCTAAGATGGCTTTTGCTTATCGCTTCAGTGAAAATACTGCAGTCCTCGATGACACTGATTTTCTTGAGTTAACGCTTCGGGGTTAAAAATTCGAACAAAATATTCTCTCTCGCTTTCACGGCGCGCATAACGGAGATAAAACACCTCAATTACTGGGAGCGCTTGAGGTTCTAAACCTGTATTCCCTGGAACGCAGGAGGGAGAGATACATGATTATATACACCTGGAAAATCCTAGAGGGACTAGTACCGAACTTGCACACGAAAATCACTCACTACGAAAGCAAAAGACTTGGCAGACGATGCACCATCCCCCCAATGAAAAGCAGGGGTGTCACTAGCACGTTAAGAGACCATACAATAAGTGTCAGGGGCCCGAGACTGTTCAACTGCCTCCCAGCACACATAAGGGGGATTACCAACAGACCCCTGGCAGTCTTCAAGCTGGCACTGGACAAGCACCTAAAGTCAGTTCCTGATCAGCCGGGCTGTGGCTCGTACGTTGGTTTGCGTGCAGCCAGCAGCAACAGCCTGGTTGATCAGGCGCTGATCCACCAGGAGGCCTGGTCACAGACCGGGCCGCGGGGGCGTTGACCCCCGAAACTCTCTCCAGGTAAACTCCAGGTAAACTGCAACTGGCTTCTCTGATCACCTTTCTGACATCCAACCAGTAATATTAAACTGATTAACACCTTCGCAAACCGCTGGATGTTGTTCCTTTTGCATAGTTGGTCAGATACAATTGTTGTGGTTCATAAGAAGAGTGAAGGGTAACACTGACACCAAAATGGAGGCTGTTTTAGGGATGTATTAGGAGTTAATTAAAGACAAAGCCCAGCCTATCACTCCCACCCACCGCCTAGGTCAGGGTGTAACTGCGGGGTCTGTGATCCACGTACGTTGTTCAAAAGTCACGTGACTAGCTTGTACAAAGGATGCTGCAAATAAATGGTAATGGCGCATGTATATATAGGGAGGTACCACCTCTGGAATATATATATATATATATATATATATATAATATATATATATATATATATAATATATATATATATATATATATATATATATATTATATATAATATATATATATATATATATTATATATTATGCAAGGAATCCGCAAGAGCAGGTGAAATATACACAAACAAAGGTTCGTAGGTTCGAGTCTCCTTCAGCCAAAGATCAGTGTTTGTGTATATTTCGCCTGCTCTTGCGAATTCCTTGCATTGTTAAAATCTCTAGTAAGGCTGATGCATGCAGGGGATAAGATGAAAAGCTGTAAGCCTTCTCTCTGAAAGCTGGCTGCATTGGATCAACGTCTAGCGCAAGCTGGACGCCAAGGTATTGTCCAGTGTGGTGAGAATGGTATAGCACTGCGTACCTTGTTCCAAGGTTCGTAGGTTCGAGTCTCCTTCAGCCAGAGATCAGTGTATATATATATATATATATATATATATATATATATATATATATATATATATATATATTTATATATTTTATTTATTTTATTATCACACTGCCGATTCCCACCAAGGCAGGTGGCCCGAAAAAGAAAAACTTTCACCATCATTTACTCCATCACTGTCTTGCCAGAAGGGTGCTTTACACTACAGTTTTTAAACTGCAACATTAACACCCCTCCTTCAGAGTGCAGGAAACTGTACTTCCCATCTCCGGGACTCAAGTCCGGCCTGCCGGTTTCCCTGACCCCTTCATAAATGTTACTTTGCCCCACACTCCAACAGCACGTCATGTATTAAAAACCATTTGTGTCCATTCACTCCTATCAAACACGCTCACGCATGCCTGCTGGAATCCAAGCCCCTCGCACACAAAACCCTCCTTTACCCCCTCCCTCCAACCTTTCCTAGGCCGACCCCTACCCCGCCTTCCTTCCACTACAGACTGATACACTTTTGAAGTTATTCTGCTTCGCTCCATTCTCTCCACATGTCCGAACCCCCTCAACAACCCCTCCTCAGCCCTCGGACAACAGTTTTGGTAATCCCGCACCCTCCTCCTAACTTCCAAACTACAATTCTCTGCATTATATTCAAAACCACACATTGCCCTCAGACATGACATCTCCACTGCCTCCAGCCTTCTCCTCGCTGCAACATCATCACCCATGCTTCACACCCATATAAGAGCGTTGGTAAAACTGAAACTCTCATACTTTCCCCTCTTTGCCTCCAAGGACAAAGTTCTTTGTCTCCACAGACTCCTAAGTGCACCACTCCTTTTTTTTCCCTCATCAATTCTTTTATTCACCTCATTTTTTCATAGACCCATCCGCTGAAAACGTCCACTCCCAAATATCTGAATACATTCACCTCCTCCATACTCTCTCCCTCCAATCTGATATTCAATCTTTCATCACCTAATCTTTTTGTTATCCTCATAACCTTACTCTTTCCTGTATTCACCTTTAATTTTCTTCTTTTTGCACACCCTAACCAAATTCATCCACCAATCTCAGCAACTTCTCTTCAGAATCTCCCAAGAGCACAGTGTCATAAAGCAAAGAGCAGCTGTGACAACTCCCACTTTGTGTGTGATTCTTTATCTTTTAATTAACTCCACGCCTCTTGTCAAAAACCCTCGCATTTACTTCTCTTACAACCCCATCTATAAATATATTAAACAACCACGGTGACATCACACATCCTTGCCCTAAGGCCTACTTTTACTGGGAAATAATTTCCCTCTTTCCTACATACTCTAACTTGAGCCTCACTATCCTCGTAAAAACTCTTCACGCTTTTCATAACACTACCCCCCTAAAACCATAACACTTGCAACATCTACCACATTGCCCCATTGCCCCACATTGCCTTTTCCAAACCCCATAAATGCCACAAAGACCTCTTTAGCCTTATTCTAAATACTGTTCACTTATATGTTTCACTGTAAACACCTGGTCCACACACCCCCTACCTTTCCTAAAGCCTCCTTGTTCATCTGCTATCCTATTCTCCGTCTTACTCTTAATTCTTTCAATAATAATTCTACCATACACTTTACCGGGTATACTCAGCAGACTTATCCCCCTATAAATTTTTGCACTCTCTTTTATCCCCTTTGCCTTTATACAAAGGAACTATGCATGCTCTCTGCCAATCCCTAGGTACCTTACCCTCTTCCATACATTTTTTAAAAAAATTGCACCAACCACTCCAAACTATATCCCCACCTGCTTTTAACATTTCTATCTTTATATCCCATCAATCCCGGCTGCCTTACCCCCTTTCATTTTACCTACTGCCTCACGAACTTCCCCCACACCACAACTGGCTCTTCCTCACTCCTACAAGATGTTATTCCTCCTTTTCCTATACACGAAATCACAGCTTCCCTATCTTCATCAAAATTTAACAAATTTCCCCAAAAAATTCCTCCATCTTCCCAATACCTCTAACTCTCCATTTAATAACTCTCCTCTTCTATTTTTAACCCGACAAATCCAATTGTTCTCTAGGCTTTCTTAACTGTTATTCCCCACTCCAAAACTTTTTCTTATTTTCAAACAAAAAATTTGTTGATAACATCTCACCCACTCTCTCATTTGCTCTCTTTTTTACATTGCTTCACCACTCTCTTAACCTCTCTCTTTTTTTCCATATACTCTTCCCTCCTTGCATCACTTCTACTTTGTAAAAACTTCTCATATGCTAACTTTTTCTCCCCTTACTACTCTCTTTACATCATCATTCCACCAATCGCTCCCTCTTCCCTCCCGCACCCACTTTCCTGTAACCACAAACTTCTGCTGAACACTCTAACACTACATTTTTAAACCTTCCCCATACCTCTTCGACCCCATTTTCCTATGCTCTCATTAGCCCCTCTATCCCCCAATAGCTGTTTATATCTTACCCTAACTGCCTCCTCTTTTAAGTTTATAAACCTTCACCTCTCCTCTTCCCTGATGCTTCTATTCTCCTTGTATCCCATCTACCTTTTACTCTCATATATATATATAATATATATAATAATATATATATATATATATATATATATATATATATATATATATATATATATATATAATATATAACTACACAAGTATTGCACCATGGACACGATTTCCATGCTCTGGTTGCATATGATACTAGATGGAACAACATGAGTAAAGAATAATGAGATAACTGAAGCTTTCTTAAAGTTCTGGAAAATAGTTTTAAGTTGATGAGTAAGACTCCTGTGCCTGAACAGTTGGGTATTTTCATTGTTGAAACGTTTCTCCTACACGGTAGGCTTCTCCAGTCATATACAGAGGCAGCAGGTGTAGTGGCGAAATAAAGATGATGTAATCAGTCCATAAACCAAGGAGAAATAGTATTTTGAGATGGTCAGTCCCTCAGCCTGGAGAAGAGGACAGATCCGTGGATTGCGACGGCCCACCTACACGAGGCTTTAGTTTAAGCCTCATTTAGATGAAATATCATTTAAATAGTCTCTCTGTTTTGCTGCAAGAAATTGGAGCACGCATCAATAACTGGGCCTCTACCCTTCAAACAGAACTGTTTGCCATACTCCTTGCACTCAAATGTGTCCATGTATCTAAGGTTGACACTTTAATTGTAACTGATTCTCTGTCATCCATAAATGCTCTCAACTCATTTATTTATTTATTTATTTATTTATAATTTGAGCACACATACAGAGGTACAAAAAAATACAGATAAGAGCAGCATGCCAAAGCCACTTATACTATGCATAGCATTACGGGCTGGCTTAAAATTAACTTAAGATTAACTAAGCAATGATGAAATCAGTGAAAAACATTAATGTAAACAGATTACTATAAAGCACAAGTGAGTATTACAAAGACAGGTCATATGGTTGCATGCATTGTTGTAAATTCAGTAGAATGGAGTATTCTGTTAGGTAGTGTATTTAAAAAATAATAAAGTTAGATTGGGTTTTAGGTTTAACATTTATGTGATATAATTGTGAGAAACATTTAAGATATACAATTTATAAGGTTCAGTTATTCAGTATTTATTTGGTTTTGGGTGAGTAAGTGATCTTTGAGAAGAGACTTGAATTTATAAACAGGTAGTGTTTCTTTTATATTTACAGGTAATGAATTCCAGATTTTTAGGGCCTTTTATGTGCATTGAGTTTTTGCATAGCGTGAGATGGACACGAGGAATATCAAAGAGTGATCTGTGCCTTGTGTTATGGTCATGTGTTCTGTTGAGGTTGGCAAGGAGATGTTTGAGGGGAGGGTTAATATCAGAGTTGAGTGTTCTATGTATGTAATAGGTGCAGTAATAAGTATGGATGTTTTGTATGGTGAGTAGGTTGAGTGTATTGAATATTGGTGGAGTGTGCTGCCTGTAGTGAGAATTTGTTATCATTCTAACTGCAGCCTTTTGTTGGGTAATTAGTGGTCTGAGATGGTTACTTGTTGTTGAGCCCCATGCACAAATTCCATAGGTGAGATAGGGGTAAATAAGAGAGTGATATAGGGCCAGGAGGGCTGACTGTGGAGCATAGTACCGTAATTCGATAGTATGCCTACAGTCTTGGAAATTTTCTTAGAAATTTGTTGTATATGTGTATGAAATTTGAGTCTATTATCAAGGTGGATTCCTAAGAATTTTCCCTCTGTTAGCTTTGTGATAGGTGATCCGTTTATCATTATGTTAAGAGGGACATCTGTAGCTCTGTTACCAAACTGAATGAAGTAGGTTTTGTCAATGTTTAGTGTAAGTTTGTTAGTACTCATCCAGGTAGATATTTTCTGTAATTCGGTATTTACAGTATTGGCTAGCGTGACTGGGCTCGGGTGGGAGAAGACGTATGTTGTGTCATCAGCAAATAGTGTGGGTTTGAGTAATTGCGAAGCATTTGGTAGGTCATTTATGTATAGGAGAAAGAGAAGAGGGCCAAGGACACTTCCCTGTGGGACACCAACTGTAATTGGTTGTGCAGAAGAGTTTGCCCCATTTGCGTACACATATTGGCTTCTGTTGCTGAGGTATGACTTGAGGTAGTTGAGGGAGTGCCCTCTTATACCATAGTGTGACAATTTTACGTGGAGCAAGTCATGGTCAACTGTATCAAAAGCTTTACGTAAGTCAATGAAGATCCCCAGTGGGACTTCTTTTTTCTCTATTGCAGTGTATATATGTCATTAAGTATAAATTGTGGCATGCTTGTGTCAGAAGCCAGACACAGGTATGTCAAGATTGTGGACAGTGGAGTCAGAGTGCACATGCTGTGGATTCCATCTCACATTGGTCTTCAGATGCATGATAGAACTGATAAATTGGCTAAGCTGTATGCTTTCAAAGAGGGAGTAGATTACAATCTTGGCTTATCAGGTAGTAGTTTGAGAACAATAATACGAAAAGAACTTCAAATGAACTTTATTGACTTAAGGCTCAGGGAGATTGACACAAGTCAGTCCATCTATCATCATTCCATCATGCAGGAGGAGCCACATGTCTATGGTGCATGCAACAAGATAAGCAGACTCTTGGATGTCACTACTGCCCGGCTCCGGCTGGGTTACAAGTATCTTTGGCAGGTTAAATCACCACCACCAGATGTAGACCAAACGAAATGTAAACTTTGCCAGATGGACTATTGTCACACCCTGCGTCATTATGTACTGGAGTGTGATCAAATTAATGAATTTAGAAACAACTCACTCAGAAATGTTCAAGAAACGGCAAAGTATTTTATCCACAGTGGTATATTACAGACCATTCTGGAGAAATACCCTGACTTTGCTAGCTGTAAATAATGCATTACCATGTGTGTGTGTGTGTGCGCGCGCGCGCGCGCGTGTGTGTGTGTGAGTGTGTGTGTGTGTGTGTACTCACCTATTTGTACTCACCTATTTGTGGTTGCAGGGGTCGAGTCCTAGCTCCTGGCCCCGCCTCTTCACCGGTTGCTACTAGGCCCTCTCTCTCCCCGCTCCATGAGCTTTATCAAACCTCGTCTTAAAACTGTGTATGGTTCCTGCCTCCACTACGTCATTTTCTAGGCTATTCCACTGCCTTACAACTCTATGACTGAAGAAATACTTCCTACTATCTCTCTGACTCATTTGTGTCTTCAACTTCCAATTGTGGCCTCTTGTTTCTGTGTCCCCTCCCTGGAACATCCTGTCCTTGTCCACCTTGTCTATTCCACGCAGTATTTTATATGTCGTGTGTGTGTCTGTGTGTCTGTGTGTCTGTGTGTGTGCGTGTGTGGGTGTGTGTGTGCGTGTGTGGGTGTGTGTGTGGGTGTGTACTCACCTATTTGTGGTTGCACGGGTCGAGTCTTAGCTCCTGTGTGAGGGTGTGTGCGTGGGTGTGTGTGAGGGTGTGTGTGTGGGTGTTGGTGTGTGTGTGTGTGGGTGTGTGTGTACTCACCTCACCTAGTTGAGGTTGCGGGGGTCGAGTCCGAGCTCCTGGCCCCGCCTCTTCACTGATCGCTACTAGGTCACTCTCCCTGAGCCGTGAGCTTTATCATACCTCTGCTTAAAGCTATGTATGGATCCTGCCTCCACTACATCGCTTCCCAAACTATTCCACTTACTGACTACTCTGTGGCTGAAGAAATACTTCCTAACATCCCTGTGATTCATCTGTGTCTTCAGCTTCCAACTGTGTCCCCTTGTTACTGTGTCCAATCTCTGGAACATCCTGTCTTTGTCCACCTTGTCAATTCCTCTCAGTATTTTGTATGTCGTTATCATGTCCCCCCTATCTCTCCTGTCCTCCAGTGTCGTCAGGTTGATTTCCCTTAACCTCTCCTCGTAGGACATACCTCTTAGCTCTGTGTGTGTGTGTGTGTGTGTGGGTGTGCGTCCTTGTGTGTATGCATATATTTGTACGCTCGTGTGCACATGTCCGTGCGTGCGCCCTGGTGTGTGTGTGTGTGTGTGTGTGTGTATACATATATTGTATGCTCGTGTGCATGTGTCTGTGCGTGCGCCCTCGTGTGTGTATGTGTGTGCGGCACGCGCTAGTGTGGGTGTATGATCCACTTAATATTTGTATTTATAACTCATTACAATTGTGACCAGGTGTGGACGTATCAGTGGTTCATTACTTTGTAATTTGTTCATGACTGTAACCATGTATAGGAGTGAGGCTGATTCATTACCTCTGTAACTTGCCATGATTGTGACCAGATCTACCGTGTGTGTGTGTGTGTGTGTGTGTGTGTGTGTGTGTGTGTGTGTGTGTGTGTGTGTGTGTGTCTGTCTGTCTGTCTGTGTGTGTGTGTCTGTCTGTGTGTGTACTCACCTATTTGTGGTTGCATGCGTGTGTGTGTGTGTGTGTGTGTGTGTGTGTGTGTACTCACCTAATTGTACTCACCTAATTGTAGTTGCAGGGGTCGAGACTCAGCTCCTGGCCCCGCCTCTTCACTGATTGCTACTGGATCCTCTCTCTCTCTGCTTCCTGAGCTTTGTCATACCTCTTCTTAAAACTATGTATGGTTCCTGCCTCCACTACTTCACTTGCTAGGCTATTCCACTTGCTGACAACTCTATGACTGAAGAAATACTTCCTAACGTCCTGTGACTCGTCTGAGTCTTCAGCTTCCAGTTGTGACCCCTTGTCCCTGTGTCCCCTCTCTGGAACATCCTATCTCTGTCCACCTTGTCTATTCCCCGCAGTATCTTGTATGTCGTTATCATGTCTCCCCTGACCCTTCTGTCCTCCAGTGTCGTCAGTCCGATTTCCCTTAACCTTTCCTCGTACGACATTCCCTTGAGCTCTGGGACTAGCCTTGTTGCAAACCTTTGTACTTTCTCTAACTTCTTGACGTGCTTGACCAGGTGTGGGTTCCAGACTGGTGCTGCATACTCCAGTATGGGCCTAACATACACAGTGTACAGTGTCTTGAACGATTCCTTATTAAGGTATCGGAACGCTATTCTCAGGTTTGCCAGGCGCCCGTATGCTGCAGCGGTGATTTGGTTGATGTGTGCCTCCGGTGATGTGCTCGGTGTTATGGTCACCCCAAGGTCTTTCTCCCTCAGTGAGGTCTGTAGTCTTTGTCCACCTAGCCTATACTCTGTCTGCGGTCTTCTTTGCCCCTCCCCAATCTTCATGACTTTGCATTTGGCTGGATTGAATTCGAGAAGCCAGTTGCTGGACGACATGTCCAGCCTGTCCAGGTCTCTTTGCAGTCCTGCCTCATCCTCGTCCGATTTAATTCTTCTCATCAACTTCACGTCATCTGCAAACAGGGACACTTTAGAGTCTATTCCTTCCATCATGTCGTTCACATATATCAAAAATAGCACTGGTCCTAGAACTGACCCCTGTGGGACCCCGCTCGTAACAGGCGCCCACTGTGATACCTCTTCACGTACCATGACTCGTTGCTGCCTCCCTGTCAGGTATTCCCTTATCCATTGCAGTGCCCTCCCTTTTACGTGCGCCTGATCCTCCAGCTTCTGCACTAATCTCTTGTGGGGAACTGTGTCAAAGGCCTTCCTGCAGTCTAGGAAAACGCAATCTACCCACCCCTCTCTCTCGTGTCTTACTTCTGTTACCTTGTCATAAAACTCCAGGAGGTTTGTGATACAAGATTTGCCTTGTGTGTGTCCAGTCCCTGGACCCATTACATACCTCTGTAATCTGTAAATACCTTTGTAACTTGACATGATTGTGACCAGACCTACCTGGAGTTCATTACCTTTGTAAATTGTGAGTTCATTACCTTTGTAAATTGTGAGTTCATTACCTTTGTAAATTGTGAATTCATTACCTCTGTAACTTGCTCAGCTATCAAAACTTTGGAGTCCAGTCCCTGGACCAATTATGTACCTCTGTAATCTTTTGACTACCGCCCACAGGATGGGTATGGGGTGCATAATAAACATATTAAACTAACATATTAAACTGTTTTGCTGTATTTGTTTTTTTTAACAATAACTGCGGCTGCAGGTCACGTCAGTCAGGTGAACCGCATCATGTGCGCTGGAGACTTCCTCTTTAGCACCTCCTACGATAAGACGGCGAAGGTGTGGCTGCAGCAGGTCAACAACGCTTCCACACAGGAGGAAGTCCTCGTGCGCACCTTCGAGGTGAGGATTGTGTTGTATTCACCGCAAGGAGTGGTGGAGGCTCGATCCTCGGTACGGTTACATCCAAACTTTGACGCTCCGTTTGTGGTGACCGCGGTTATTGGATGGAAGGTCAAGCTTCCACCGCTCCTTGCGGCAAATGACTCACACAAGTTTACTGCATCACAAGAATAATAATAATAATATACTGACACCAGATAATCCACTAACCCAGAAATTGGAAATAAAAACCTGGAAGATGTTTCAGTCTTTCCTGGACCAGTAGGAAGACATGAGTGACTTAGTAATAGTCCCGGACGGATCGAAACATCAAATTAGTGATGGTCCAGAACAGACTGAAACATCGTCTTGTTTTCATTAATGTGTTAGTTAATTGTGACTCGCTCCAGCCTCGGTATTGTGATTTATTCAGTATGTGGGACAGAGGATCGAGCCTCCAACACCATGCTGCATGATCCACACGGGTCTTCTGCTACACACAAAGTATTAGGAAGACGAATATGCAGTATATATATTCAACATGTGACCCCATGTCACCCTACAGGGTCATACCAAGGCAGTGTACCCCATCATCTTCCTACCTGGACAAGACACGGGTGGAGTCAACGAGGAGGGTCTGAAGATCAACCCAAGTGACTTGGTCATCACGGGCAGCACAGACACCACAGCCAAGTCCTGGGCACTAGACATGGGCATATGTCTCAAGGTCAGCATGAACACTTATATATATATATATATATATATAATATATATATATATATATATATATATATATATATATATATATATATATATATATATATATATATATATATTATATATATATATATATATATATATATATATAATATATATATATATATATATATATGATATATATAATTATATATATATATAATATATATATATATATATATATATATATATATATATATATATATATATATATATATATATATAACAGTGGACCCCACATAACGCTATTAATCCGTTCCTGAGAGCTCAATGTTATGCAAAATTATCGTTATGCGAATTAATTTTCCCCATAAGAAATAATGGAAATCAAATTAATCCATGCAAGACACCCAAAAGTATGAAAAAAAAAGTTTTTACCACATGAAATATTAATTTTAATACACACAAACTTAAGAAAACATGCACAGTTACATGACACTTACCTTTTTTGAAGATGTGGTGATGATTGATGGGATGGAAGGAGGGGAGACTGGATGGTTTTAGTGTTTAGAAGGGGAATCCCCTTCCATAAGGACTTGAGGTGTCAAGTCTTTTTCCGAGGTTGCTTCCCTTCTTCTTTTAATGCCACTAGGACCAGCTTCAGAGTCACTGGACTTCTGTCACACAGCATATCTGTCCATAGTGGCCTGTACCTCTCGTTCCTTTATGACTTTCCTAAAGTGTTTCACAACAGTGTCAGTGTAATAGTCACCAGCACGGCTTGCAATAGCTGTCTGAGGGTGATTTTCATCCATGAAGGTTTGCACTTCAAGCCACTTTGCACAGATTTCCTTAATCTTTGAAGTAGGCAACTTCTTCAATTTCTCTCTCCCCTCCTCCGAAGCTGTTGAAGTTGATCTAGAAGCTCATCAGTGGTTAGTTCTTCATTGTCCTCCTCCACCAACTCTTCCACATCCTCCCCACTAACCTCCAACCACAAGGGCTTCCCCAATGCCACAATTGATTCCTCAACTGGCATAGGATTCTCAGGGTTAGCCTCAAATCCTTCAAAATCCCTTTGGTCTATACATTCTGGCCACAGTTTCTTCCAAGCAGAGTTCAAGGTCCTCTTAGTCACTTCCTCCCAAGCCTTACCTATAAGGTTTACACAATTGAGGATATTAAAGTGCTCTCTCCAGAACTCTCTTAGAGTCAATTGAGTTTCTGAGGTCACTACAAAGCACCTTTCAAACAGAGCTTTTGTGTACAGTTTTTTGAAGTTTGCAATAACCTGCTGGTCCATGGGCTGCAGGGGAGGAGTGGTATTAGGAGGCAAAAACTTCACCTTAATGAAGCTCATGTCCCCACAAAGTCGCTCTGCCAAGTCTGTAGGATGACCAGGGGCATTGTCTAACACCAGGAGGCACTTAAGGTCTAATTTCTTTTCAGTTAGGTAATTTTTCACAGTGGGGGCAAATGCTTGGTGTAACCAGTCATAGAAAAAGTCCCTAGTGACCCATGCCTTATTGTTTGCCCTCCACAGCACACACAAATTAGCCTTGAGGATATTCTTTTGCCTGAACGCTCTGGGAGTTTCAGAGTGATACACTATTGAAGGCTTCACTTTGCAATCACCACTAGCATTGGCACACATGAGAAGAGTAAGCCTGTCTTTCATAGGCTTATGTCCTGGGAGTGCCTTTCCCTCCTGAGTAATGTAGGTCCTGCTTGGCATTTTCTTCCAAAACAGGCCTGTTTCGTCACAATTAAACACTTGTTCAGGTTTCAGTCCTTCACTGTCTATGTACTCCTTGAATTCATGCACATATTTTTCAGCTGCTTTTTGGTCCGAACTGGCAGCCTCACCATGCCTTATCACACTATGTATGCCACTACACCTCTTAAATCTCTCAAACCAACCTTTGTTGGCCTTAAATTCACTCGCATCACAACTAGTTGCAGGCATTTTTCTAATTAAATCCTCGTGCAACTTCCTAGCCTTTTCACTTATGATCGCTTGAGAGATGCTATCGCCTGCTATCTGTTTTTCGTTTATCCACACCAATAACAGTCTCTCAACATCTTCTATCACTTGCGATCTCTGTTTCGAAAGCACAGTTAAACCTTTGGCAAGAACAGCTTCCTTGATTGCCGTTCTCTTGGACACAATAGTAGCGATGATTGATTGGGGTTTACTATACAACCTGGCCAGCTCGGAGACACGCACTCCACTTTCATGCTTAGCAATGATCTCTTTCTTCATCTCCATAGTAATTCTCACCCTTATTCCTGTAGGGTTGGCACTAGAAGCTTTCTTGGGGCCCATGGTCACTTATTTTTCAGGTGAAATCACTATAAAAAGGCTGTAATAATACAAAATGTTCCGATTGTATGCTTGAATGTTACCGCGGAGGCTGGCTTGTAAACAATGCCACTGGCAGAACAAGTGAGGCTGGCTCAGGCCACATGGACGCATCTCAGACAAGTCGCGTTGAGTGAATTTTTTAGCGCTATGCGAGGCAAAATTTTAGCGATAAAATGTATCGCTATGCGGATTTAACACTATGCGATGCCAACGTTATGCGGGGGTCCACTGTATATATATATATAAAAGGCAAGTGAAAATTTATGTATGCTATAATTTCGCAAAAATCATTTTGAACCTAACGAAAAAAAAAAATATTTCATTGTATTTGTTTATTATTAAATTATTGTAAACTTATCTAAAATATATTAGTTGGATGAGGCTAAATTAAATTGCGCTTGTTATAATAAGGTTAGGTAAGTTTCCTAAGATTCTTTTGGTACAAAATTATTAATTTTTACATTAACATAAATGAAAAAAATATATATCTTGAAACATACGAGAGAAAATGTTAGAAAGGACTTAATTTTAAATGAGTCTTTACTAATTGACCAGTTTTACCTATTCGGCACGACATACATATACAATAGACCGTTATATTACACTTAGTTACGTTCCTGAACATGTCGTGTTAGGTAAAACCGTGTTATATGAACTGAAGAACGTAGGGGCAATATAGGGTTACGTTCCTGGGAGCCTGAAAAAAGCCAACCAACTTTTTTTTATACCAATAGATCTTACTAAAATAATAGGGAATATGTAACTCTAGTTCGTAGTCATGATATATTATGTTATTATTGCTTAAAACTATCAAATGCAACAGAAATAATAGTATTTCTCACCATAAATTGTGGTTGCTGTATGTCAGTGATTGTGAAGACAGCAGAGATGCACGGTTTGGCCCTACTGGGCTGAGGTGGATGGTTGTTGGTTGTCGGCATAAGTGAACAGTAGCAGTTCTGGTACTAAAGTCGATGGCTGTTTTGGAGTGTGTATAAATTCTGTAATGGATCCCTGGGCTCTTTTACCCTGCAGTAATTATACAGCTGATGGTAAGGCATTATCAGCTGGTCTAGACCCTGTTTCAAAGCACTGCTTCTAGATTTACCAGAGTCCTCTTCAGTGAAAAAGTTTGCTGGTTTACCGGCAACATGAAAATGCTCACATAACTACTGCAATGTTAACTGTTTTTCTTCAGGTTCTTCATCTTCTGTTATGTGGCTCCCTTGTATCTGTGCATCGAGCTCTGCCAACATTTCCTCTGGACTCCTGTCTTTATCATCATCATCTTCTAAGAGCTTATTCACATCGTCTTCATTCATATCTTCTTGCATGCTGAACAATTTCCTGAACCTGACTCTCAAGCAAGGAAAAACCAGTGAAAGAACTAACTAGAGAAGGCCACAACTTTCCCCAGCCTGCATTTAGTGTTGACTGAGGCACTTCATTCCATGCACTTCCAGCATAGCTGATGGCATCTGCAGTGTTAAATTTATTCCAGAAACTTGGTACTGCCAGGATAGAATCAGATTCCATTGATGCAACTAGTTTTTTCACAACTTGAATGACTTAACTCCCCGATCTAGTAGTTGTATTAAAGATGTATTTGGAGGTAAAAATACAACCTTTACATTTGAGGTCACATCCAGCAAAGCTTGTGGACGAGTATGGGAATTATCATGAATGAGGAGAGCTTTGACTGGAAGGCTCTTGCTGCGCAGGTAAAAATTTTTTCCCTCCCACAAACCGAACCGTGTTAATTTAATTTTACGAAGTGTCATATAAAATTGTGCCACAATTTTTCAATAATGCAATAACCAAAGCATGCCAAATAAAACCATGCAATATAACGGTCTACTGTAAATCAAGAGCCACTCCTTGGTGGCCGGGTTGGCTGGGGACTTGGTCTCGTCTATCTGGCTTGCTGTCGCAGCTGTTTTGGTGGGTGTAATTACAGGACGCAGATTTCTGCATGTCTCCTGTTATTCCACTCACCTGGACAGTCTCGACAGTGGAGCGTCTATACGGGACCAACGGGATGGGACCAACTTCGTTCGAGCAAGGTCACACAGGAGGGCAGGGCTCGATACGGCGTAAGCTCTGTGGCTCTATAAACTCTAACAACAACACTGGCCAAAAGCCACTAACCTTGGGAAAGTGGAAAACCGATGACCTAGGAAAAAAAAAAGCACCAAAAAATGGTTGTCATTCACCCTAGTTGAATGGCTATACCATACCTGTAGTCACTGGCATCTGGGGTTCACTTCTCAAGTGAATATCTCAGTAAAATGATACGATATATATCTCAAGGGCAGCTATTTTTTCATGTTAAATTTAGATTTTCTTGCACTGTGGGGGTAATACCCTTCTTCTCTGTGATATTTACATGGTGGGAACACCCGCAGTGCGCGGCTGCTTTATTCTATATTAAGAGTTATGAACTGGTAACAAAGGGTAACTGACTCACGAAATCGTAATGACACGATTGCAAACAAACCATACCACGGGTGGGGATAGAACTCGCGATTAGAGTCTCAAAACTCCAGACCGTCGCATTAGCCACTGGGCCAGCTAGCCACAATGAGATTCATCCAACTAGGTATGGTGTAGAAATATACCTAGTTGGATGAATCTTTCTGTGGCTAGCTGGCCCGGTGGCCAACGCGACGGTCTGGAGTTTTGAGACTCTCTCTTCGCGGGTTCTATCCCCACCCGTGGTATGAATTTTTTTTAAAGGGTAGCTGTTTCCTTGTCACACTCGCTCACACATGGGTTTCATACATAAGGTAACGAAATGTCAGTTTGAGTTTGGTGATTTCAGTAAGTCGGTGAGGATATCGTCAAATATTCCATTATGGACTTAGCAGCTACGTTGCCTCTATAGGTTTCGTTCTAACACAGCTGGAGTTACTATTACTTCTGAATTATAATATATCAGTTAATCGGGCAATGTTAGAGGCCAGTATTCAGATATCAACCATGCTAACAAATAACTTCTATACAGAATTGATCAGGATAACGTCAGTCAGTGTTAGGAGACAAACCCATCATCTGTACCTAAAATTCTATAGAGTCAGCTAGGTAATTATAATTCAGTAGTTGCAAACTGGCAATTACACTCAGGAAATTATAAATAGGTAATGACATTTCTCCGGCAGACAATGCAACAGCACACTGGACCAGTGACCTGCATGGACACGGGAGCTCAAGGAAAACTTCTCTTCACGGGCAGTGATGATTGTACCGTCAGGGTGTGGGAAGTCAGCAGTGGCAGGTGTCTGAGGGTAGGTGTGTCATGATTGTACCGTCAGGGTGTGATATGTCAGCAGTGGCAGGTGTCTGAGGGTAGGTGTGTCATGATTGTACCCTCAAGGTGTGATATGTCAGCAGTGGCAGGTGTCTGAGGGTAGGTGTGTCATGATTGTACCGTCAGGGTGTGATATGTCAGCAGTGGCAGGTGTCTGAGGGTAGGTGTGTCATGATTGTACCGTCAAGGTGTGATATGTCAGCAGTGGCAGGTGTCTGGCAGGGGTAGTGAGTGTGTCATGATTGTACCGTCAGGGTGTGATATGTCAGCAGTGGCAGGTGTCTGAGGGTAGGTGTGTCATGATTGTACCGTCAGGGTGTGGAATGTCAACAGTGGCAGGTACTCACCTAATTGTGGTTGCAGGGGTCGAGACTCAGCTCCTGGATCCTCCTCTTCACTGATCGCTACTAGGTCCTCTCTCTCTCTCTCTCTCTCTCTCTCTCTCTCTCTCTCTCTCTCTCTCTCTCTCTCTCTCTCTCTCTCTCTCTCTCTCTCTGCTCCCTGAGCTTTATCATACCTCGTCTTAAAGCTATGTATAGTTCCTGCCTTCCACTACATCACTTGCTAGATTGTTCCACTGCCTAACAACTTTATGACTGAAGAAATACTTCCTAACATCCCTTTGACTTTCTGAGTCTTCTACTTCCAATTGTGACCCCTTGTTTCTGTGTCCCATCTCTGAAACATCCTGTCTCTGTGCACCTTATCTATTCCACGCAGAATTTTGTATGTCGTTATCATGCCTTCCCTGACCTTCCTGTCCTCCAGTGTCGTCAGACCGATTTCCCTTAACCTTTCTTCGTAGGACATTCCCCTTAGCTCAGGGTATGGGATGCCAGCAGTGGCAGGTGTCTGAGAGTAGGTGTGTCATGATTGCACCGTGACAATGTGGGATGTCAATAGTAACAGGTGTCTCAGGATAGGTCACTGTACCTTCATACTACTCACACTCGCCTCCCCATCCACCTCCGTGTCAGATCAATGTACCTCCACTCCCTCACGCGCCTCTTTACCTCACGGTACACCAACCTCCTCTCCGTGGCAAACCTCCCCACCATCTACCTCCGTGTCAGGTCCACCATTAACCCACTCACTACCACGCTCTCTTTACACACAGATGATATTTATCTTCCAAACAGATTGATGGATCAACTCGTTATTAATAAAAGGTTTTAGTCAGTGAATAAGGTGTGCTGGAGAAATCTCGGTTTGATTCCCCGAAGCTTTTTTTAAAATCTAATTTGATCATCGACCCGTTCGTTGACTTTAAACAAATAATTTTGTGACAGGAAAAATGAAAGGGCGATAGGCATGAGAACATTAGAAATAAGAGTGGAAATATAGGATATATTAAATAAATTTTGTCAAAGTACTGCCAAAGATGTATGATTGTTGCCCCGTATTGGTGTATGGTTACCATCTAATGGTGTATGGGTGTTGCTCCATAATAATAGCTAGATTCCACCAGTCCTTGAACTGAATGATCCATACAGATTTAGCGCTTCACGAAATGATAAACACGAGACAAACTACTTGTGGTCGCAGGAGCTGAGAGGTCACAACGAGGCGGTGACCTGCCTCAAAGCAGTACAACGTATGCTGTACACAGGCAGCCATGACTCCAAGGTGAAGTGCTGGCTGCCAGAGTCTGCCAACTGTACCCGCACCTTCAAGATCAGCACTAACTTCGGCAGTGTGACGGCCATCCAGATTTACAAAGGCATCCGTAAGTCTGATCAAGGAAGAATCTGTTGTTTGTAATGATTTATTTGTATCACACAGCCTGTCGATACACGAGGGTTATTAGGGCTGCATGTCACCAGTTCACCACCAGTTAAAAATGTTTTTATTGTACTTACTCAGAGATATTCACCTCTCGGTTTATAGCGTATATTCCGGCATATAAGGCGCACCATCATATTAGCCATATAAGGCTATGTTTCACGATGTTTCCTAGGAGTTGTAACGTTACGTTAGTAAACAACTGATAAAGTGTAACACAAAGTCTACCCTTGACGCTGACCTTCAGCATATAAGACGCAGGCTGATTTTCCAAGACTGTGGGAAAAAAGCGCGCCTTATATGCCGAAAAATGCGATACATACCGCTTCCTCCCGGGTATTATTTTAGGTCAGTTAATAAAATTATTAAAACCATTAAAGAAATGGAGCGTTATAATGCTTAAAAAAAATTATTTTTAACTTGGGTTAAATCTAAGATTGAATCATTCACATTTCCTAACATGAAATAACAAAACTTAGCTGTTGCCTGCAGGCTTGACGGACTTACATGATGTGATCATTGGTGTAATTCTAATCATAACCAAGCGCTAAACCCGTAAGGGTCATACAACTCTACTTACCTGGAGTCTACCTGGAGGGTCTTCTGGGGGATCAACGCCCCCGCGACCCAGGCCTTGACCAGGCCGCGTGGTTGATCAGGGCCTGGTCAGCCAGACTGTTACTACTGGCTGCACGCAATCCGAAGTACGAACCACAGCCCTGCTGGTCGGGTATTGATCTGTATCTGTCCAGCTCCCTCTTGAAGGCAGCCAGGGGTCTATTGGTAATTCCCTTTATGGCTGGTGGGAGGCTGTTGAACAGTCTTGGGCCCTGGACACTTATCGTGTTTTCTCTTGGTGTACCATTGCCTCCACTACTTTTCATTGGTGGTATGTCGCATCGTTTACCCAGTCTTTTGCTTTCATAGGGAGTAATTGGTGTGTGTGCAGATTTGGGACCAGCCCCTCTAAGATTTTCCAGGTGTAGATTGTGATGTATCTCGCCTGCGCTCCAGTGAGTACAGATCAAGCGACTCCAAGCGATCCCAGTAATTAAGGTGTTTAACAGAGCTTATATGTGCAGTAAAGGTTCTCTGTTCATTCCCTAGATCTGTGTTTTCACCTGCCTTGAATGGAGCTGTTAGTGCACAGCAGTCTTCCAACCTCGAGAGTATAAGTGATTTAAAAAAGATCAACGATTTGGCATCCCTTGTTTTGAAAGTTCTCATTAGCCATCCTATCATTTTCCTCGCAGATGTGATAGTAACACTACTGTGATTCTTGAAGGTGAGACCCTCTGACATTAACACTCCCAAGTCCTTCACAGTACTTTTCTGCTCTACTGTGCTATTAGAGTTTGAATAGTGGGAGTGTTGTCTGTAACCTGAATGGGTGATTATACTAATGGCTGATTCCACTAGGTCACAATAAGTTGTAGGTGGTTGTTGTTTGCTGTTGTGGTTCTCTAATCACAGACACCATAAGTGATGCAGGGATAGATTAGTGAATAGTACAGAGTAGCACACAGTAGTACAGCTTGAGGAACATAGTAACGCAGTTTTAATAGAATGCCCACAGTTTGTTTTTTTAATTTTTTTAGATGTGTTGGACGTGAGTGTTGAATTTCAGGTTCCAGTCATGGTGTATATCTAAGAGTTTTTCCCTCTTCTTGCTTTACTATGTGAGAATTATTTATTTTTACACTTAAATGAATGTTTTTAGTTTTATTCCCAAACAACATGCCTTCTAGAAGGTCTTGTCAATATTGGGAGCAAGTTTGTTAGTGGCCAGTCCAGGTAGAAATCTTTACGAGCTTCTCCTTCACTGTGTTATTGAGAACATCAATATTTGAATTATACATGACGAATGTTGTGTCATTTTCAAACTAGTTTAAGTTCCTGCGAGGCATATGGTACGTCATTTATACAGATGAAAAATAATAGTGGGACAAGGACACTACCCTGTGACACCCCTGTATTGAGAGTTTGAGTAGATAAAGTAGTGATATTGACAATCACATGCTGCTGGTGGCCATGAAAGTAAGAGCTTGACTTCCGATTCCACAATGTTCTACTTTCGGCAGCAATATTTTATGGTCTACAGTGTTAACAACTTTTCGTAGGTCAGTAAAGAAGCTCATTTGATATTCATTATTTTCTTGAGCTCAACAGGCAGATTCCAACATGTTCAGGATATTATCAGCACTGTCCACTCCTCCATCAAACGGGGTTGTTTGATGTTGCTGAAGGGCTCTTGATTCAAGAACTGAGCTGCCTTTCCTTTTCCCAGATCAACGATAATCACCTTCCATTCTCCAAGCTCTCAAGCTTTAACATTTCCTCATAAATAAATTGAGAAATTAATTAGTGAATCAGTGGTCATCGGTGATTCAATAGTCGCTGACGAATCACTGGTCAATGGTGATTGGAAGATGACGCAAAATCCAAGGAAGACGATGCAAAATCCAAGATCTTGAGATCCTGGAGTGATCAAAGCCCTGGGACCCCCACTCTGCCTGGATATTTCCTTGTTCACACTCCAACAGCACGTCATATCCTTCAAACCGCTTATCTTTCCTGTCGCCAGTTTTCGTGGGCTACACCGATGATGTGGCGCGAGCCTTTGACGCTAAGAGCGGTAGCCTGAAGCGGGTGTTCCAGGGGCACACTGATAGCGTCAGCTGCCTGGCAGTGTGGGCCAACAAGCTCTACACTGGCAGCTCCGATGGCACTCTCAGGGTGTGGGACGTGTCGAACATCAGGTGAGGAGAAGCAGCAGCCTTGTATATCACTAGCACACGACAACAGATTCCTTCATGTTTCCTGTGTTGTTTAACCTGCAGGTCAGGCAGTCTGGGCTCACCCCAAAAAGACTAAACAATAACATATATTCACTGTTAAACCACGTAGGCACTGTTGCATGGTGTGGCCTCGTCATCAAGGCGGGAGGTAGGTCCTTGTGATACTTTTGTCAATCCTGACTGAGGAGTCAAAGACTTTAATACTTTGTGTCTAAGTGAGACTTCAAATTCACTCATTTCACCTCTTTCTAGAACTGCTTGACCTTACGATAATCTTGATATATTTTGATCACAAGAGAAATTCTCAGTAAAATCGGAAGATCACTCAGCTCCATTTTTATTAGTCTTTTCCCTAATTAATTATGCTCTACCTATTCTGTGTTTAAATAAAATTAATCTTTATTTACTAATGGCTCGTTCCTTAACCTTTAACTCATCTTGTCTCATCTACCTCATCATCACTGCATGAAATTTATACCTTAAACGAAAGCTACTTCTTACTCTACATATATTTCTAACGCAACCTCAGACTCATTATTTTTCAGCTCTCTAGCACAGTGTGTTGGACTCGTCGGTTATTCTACAGATGTTTAGTTCTCTCTTACATATAGAGATTAAGTCAACAACAAAAGTGTTCCTGAAACCTCTATTGTTTTCTGTAGTATAAAATATATCATTATATCATGTGACCCAGATGTATTTCATGCCGGGCAGGATTTCGCTTCTTGTATCATTTTGTATTTAGTTAACTATGTTTTTGCTGGTTTAAACCCCATCATATTAAACATGTCAAACTTACCACCAAATCTAAAGAAAACAGTTTATGAGTGATGTAGAGCAGAGCCTGGAGCCCTCCCTGCCCTTACATACAGTAGCAATTACGGTCTTGCGGCCAAAACCCCAAATATGCAAAAGTCAGCTGTAGCCCTATGCTGGGAGAAATACGGAAATCATTTTTTAACGAGTTTTCGGAAAGTCAAGAAAGTTAGAATCACCGGGTCCCCTGGCTGAGGGGCCTTGCACGCACCCTTTAACGGGCATCGAAAACATAATAAACCCTGAGAATGTAGCCCCTCGCTCTTTATCGAGCCCTGGCTCATATGTTCCAGCTTTATAGTCACAGCGTAGTTTTAATAGCCATCGAGCACACTTACGAAAGCGTTTGTATTATTTTCAAAAAGTTACTATCCATGTAGCATTATATAACAAATTGGGGCCAAAACAAGTTTTGCTAGAGAATAAATATAATTGCATGCTTCTGGAAGAAACGTGTTTTATCTTACACCTTGGAAAACAAAAATATACCCCATCTTGTCCAAAACCCGCAATAACCTTCAGTACTCTCGTTGCAGCACCGAGACCTCTTCGGAAGAATCTGAGGACGAGCTCAACCATCACGTCGAACTGGACTTCGATCTGGAGAGGTACCTGGGCGATGATGTGGACCAGAATAGTAAACCTGACGAGTGAATACAAGCATTGTATGGAGACTACGTGGTGACTTAGAGCAAACTGGTAGACTGTTGGCCAGTTATCAAGACAACTGCAGAGTATTTTTATTGACAACGGTAGATCATTTTTCAAGATAACTGTAGACCATTCTTCAAGACAACTATTGAACATTCATCATGACACCTGAAGACTCTTCTTTAAGACAAGCGAAGACAGTTCTCCAAAACAAGACCAAATGCCGAGAATCCTGGCAAAAATTCTCGGCATTGTGAACCCATTATCACTCATACTATATATTAGCTGCAGTGTGTGCGTGTGTGATCTGTTAAACGTCTTTAAGGGTAACCATAGCTAATCTTATAAACAGGGAAACTGTCCTAAAATTATATGATTGTGTATTTCCAAGGACAATCAGATTTAAAAAAATTTGTCAAGTCTATGGGAATTCTTTTTAACTGTTTTGATGTGTTTATATGGGGTAATTAGGAAAATAATTTACATCAACTATTTTGCCCTACGATGATTTGAATAAGCTCGTGACAACCACAATTTATGGCCGAGGACTGGACACTGCATGCTTTCTTGATTATTTAAAATAATTTAGATATCAGTGTTATGTTAGAAACTGAACAAACATTAAAGATCTTTCTACCATTTCCTGACATAGGAAGTGTAAAACCTGTTTCATACAGCGCCTGGGAAATGAGAGGTAATGAGACTCCCTCTGAGGAAAGGGAGGGTAGCTCCAGTGCCTTGAATCACGAACTAGTATCAAAGCCATTGTCACCATTAAGCTGAGGATGGCTTAAAATTAGATGGGTACTTATACATTATTCCTCCTACTACCATCAATGCACTGGCATTGATGTATTCTGATTCGGTTGGTTGGCTACACTAGGACCATTAAGGCTGCGTGGTAACCTTTTCACCACCAGACAAGAATACATTAATAATAATAATATAACATAATATCTTTATTTACTACAAGTACATATACAAGGTCCTAGCTGACATTGGCATACTACTATATAGAAAGACCCTTGTTATGCTGAAAATTTTAGGCAAATTAGATCAGTTTTGTCCCAGGATGCGACCCACACCAGTCCACTAACACCCAGGTATCCATTATTACTGATGGGTGAACATGGACAGCAGGTGTCTTGGAAACACGTTCCTAATCTAAAGTTCTCCAGCCGTACCGGAGGAGATTCGAACCCCGGACCTCAGTGTGTGAGATGAGTGCTCTAGCGATCGAGCTACGGGCTTAAGGTGAACTCTCCTTGAATATATTTAAAAAATATATGGATGAAAAATTATGATTATAATTGGGTCGATTGTTATGAGTTGTTGAGGTGGTCTAGGCAGCTGGAGAGGATGGATCAAAATAGGACGACGAGGGTGTGTAAATCAGGGGTGGAGGGAAAGAGGTAGGTCGTCCCAGGAAGACTTGGAGGAATACAGTAAAGGAGGCGTTGAGCGCTAAAGGTTGAAGGCTTGAGTGAGCGCCGTAGGTAGCAGTACAGGTAGTTTTCATAATCTGATGAGCAGTTGGTGAGCAAGGTAACATTTAAGAAGCAATTCATGGAAAAAGGTTACAGACATTACCACAGACCAGACCATGAATCCTGCTCTGGTCTAAAATAATGTTTGTAAATAATTTCTCTTTTTTTTCCGAAGTGTTAAGCGTGTATATATATATATTTGTTCCATTCCTCTGTAATTATCCTCACTAGACAATATTTCAGGGGTTCACGTCTCAGTTCCTGGCCTTGCAATTTTTAAACCTACAATCCACCAGCTTTATTGCCTCATGGCTCTTGGACAGTGTGGTCATGTAATACACTCTGGGCAGTTTGGACAGGAGAGTGTGGACGACAGGTACTGTGGCTTACACAGTTGGCTTATTCAGTCGAATACAGAGGAAGCTGTTATAAAGATAGAAGACGTAGTGGAAAGGCGAAGATGTTATCAGACCATCAACTTTGAAGAAGTCATGTTCAAGACAATGAAGCCGAACTCATCTCCAGGTTGATGGTCTGACCAGAATCATCTCCAGGTTGATGGTCTGACCAGACTCATCTCCAGGTTGATGGTCTGACCAGACTCATCTCCAGGCTGAGGGACTGACCAGACACATCTCCAGGTTGATGGTCTGGCCAGACTCATCTCCAGGCTGAGGGACTGACCAGACACATCTCCAGGTTGATGGTCTGACCAGACTCATCTCCAGGCTGAGGGACTGACCAGACTCATCTCCAGGCTGATGGTCTGACCAGACTCATCTCCAGGCAGAGGGACTGACTGCAGCATTTCTATCTCCAGTGCTTCAGCTGTCTCAGAAATAATTACCTTTATATTGTGCTAATAAAGCCTACTGTGTAGTCAAAACTTTTCTAAATAAAGATAACTGTTACACACGTGTCTTACTTATCTGTTTGTCGGTATTGTAAACTTTTGTAATAAAGTTGGTAGAATTACCGACAATATGTAAAGTAAAAGGACACAAGTGCAACTAATGTGACATTTTATTGTGGCTCAGAGTGAGGTGCGATACTAGTGGTAGTGGTAGTAGTGATAAAAGTTGTTGTAGTAGTAGTAGTGATAAAAGTTGTTGTAGTAGTAGTAGTAGTAATACAATATGGTAGAACAATTAATTCGTACATGAGTAAAAGGATATAAAAGCTATTACTTGGGTAACATAAAAGCTCCTGGAGAGCGAAACGTTGCCACAATAAAATGTCACATTAGTTGCACTTGTGTCCTTTTACTTTACATTGTAAACTTTTATTACATTGATAAGGTTAATAGTCTTCCACACCAAGATGGTCATCGTCTCACACGATAAGTATCTCTTGTGTACCAGCGCATTTGCGTCCATTCTGCAATATGGAGACCAGGACTGGGCAGCCTGATCTAAACGAGGCCTTCCCAAAAATATATAAAGCTGAAGTATAACCTTAAGTCTTCTATTATTTAGACGTTTTAAAAGAAATTTTTTGTCTTCACTGAAAACATGAATTGGTTGATAAAAACAACTGTTCATGGGGGTCAAATACTGTGTTTACTCTTATTCAATACAACAAATATTTGAGCAAGAAAATGCAATCCTTTATTTTCTTCAAGGACTGTCAGCAAATATTTCTGCAGCTACATAAATAAATATTTATTAAAAGAAAATCGGTGATACAATGCAATCTGATTTTATCCTCAAGTAGGTGAATATTACAGCAGTGTTGATATATACATACATACAGTGAAGAGGCGGGGCCAGGAGCTGAGTCTCGACCCCTGCAACCACAATTAGGTGAATACATACAAATGTGCCGAACAGATAAAGCTTGCGATTGTGGCTTAAAACAGCAACGCTCTTCTTGCCGAATAAGGCAAGCGATAATTCGTGTGTGTAATAATTTTGCAAAAATCAGTCTTATTTTATTATTATTATTAAAGATTCGCCGGTATTCTCCCGGCCCGGGCCTTTTCCAAGTGGTGGCCCGGCCTTGGCTCCCTGTCTTGGGAGTGTCTGAGACCTAAGTCTCCCATGGGAGGAGACACAAGTACCCCCTCATCTTTGGGTCCAACTGTCCCCAGGCCTAGCCACAAGCTAGGCCTCTCTGGTCTGCCATTCCCGCCCCAAGGGGGCTAATGGGAATGATAGTCTTGTTATCTGCAAGCTCTGGCTCAGGCACCTACCCTACCCTAGAAGGGTTAGACATGGTGTCGATCAATCAGTCTTTTTTTTTTTTTATTCGCCGGTACTCTCCCGGCCCGGGTCTTTTCCAAGTAGTTGTGACCCGGCCTTGGCTCCCTATCTGGGGAGTGTCTCGAGACTTAAGTCTCCCATGGGAGGAGGTACAAGTACCCCCTCATCTTTGGGACCAACTGTCCCCAGGCCTAGCCACATTCCCCGCCCTCAACGGGGCTCGTAGGGAGAAGCTAGGCCTCTGGTCTGCCATCTGCCCCGCCCTAAAAGGGCTCGTGGGGATGGCAGTCTTGTGAGCTGCAGGTGGTAGCAAACTCAGGCCTTGGTCTTTTCCAAGTAGTGGTGCCCGCCTTCCCCGCCCTACGTCTGGGAGAGCTGTCCTCGGACTTAGATCTCCCCATGGGAGGAGGTACAAGTACCTCCTCATCTTTGGGACCAAGTGTCCTTACCCTAACGAAAAAAATATATTTCATTGTGTTTCTTAATTATTACATTACTATAAACTTACATAAAATATATTCAGCTGGATTAGGCTAAATTAAATTGCGCTTGTTATAATAAAGTTAGGTAAGTTTCCTAAGGTTCTTTTGGTACAAAATCATTAATTTTTTTATATTAACATAAATGAGAAAATGTATCTTTAAATGTGTAAGAGAAAATTTTTAGAAAGGACGTAATTTTAAATTAGTTCTTCCTAATTGACCAGTTTTACCTATCAAATGAGAGGAACTAAGTCCCGGTGAAGCGACAATTTTGGATAAATTTAAATATAAGTTGGCGAGACACATGAATGGTTGTGTGACTGAGCTGGACCTACCTAGCACTGGCAAATAACAATCTTTTACAATACGTGGCAAACAAAATGGCATACATAACAAAGGGTAATATGAATCGTTCAAAAGTTTTCTGAGAGAAGAAGTCTTCCCAGATGTACATCACATGTGATTGTAGTTGAGGACACATATTAGTGTCCTCAAGTACAATATACGAGTCTATTTTCAATACTAGGTGACACTGATCAGCCAACACCTGAAGTCATGTCGTTTCATCGGACAGCAGAACTTTCTTTCCTTGTTGAATCTCGACATACCAGCCATCTTAATATTGACATGTTGCATTATAATGCAACTTTCACAAAAACAGCTCAGACTACAACTCCATTAGTTAAGTCACTGAAGGTCACCATGATGTATAACAGCCACCATGAAGCCTAAATGAAACATCAATTTTTTTTTCTAATACATAACCATACGTTTCTTTTACATGAAGCTCAGTTTATTTATATACCAATGTTTGATTACATACTAATTAATGTACAATATTGAGAGACACTAGGCTGTGGTAAAGTTTTAAATGAATCTAATTTTTTTTCTTTAAGTGCTCTGCAAAAGCCAAAATATCCTTTCCTAGACATCAATTTTACTTACGAATACATTAATTTATGTCTAATGTAGGCCTAACTAAAGAACAATAACATGATGCCACACAATAATTGTTTGAATCAAGTATACGGGTAGACATGATAGTGTCCCCCAGGACTCAGCCTGAGACGCCTCCACGGTCCTCTGAATCTGGTTGCTGGTCTGTTGCACCCTCATTGCCTTTAAATAGTAAGTAAACATTGAAGAGTGTTTGCAGTGATGAGCTCACCAAATACACACGACCAGAACAAGCTTTTGTGTCAACATTTCGCTCAGAAAGAACGTGTTACAACAAAGTTTACTATGTATATGTCTTTTCTTCAGAGTGAGTGGTATTTGTACCCATGGTCTGGCAGTCCTTGGATTGATTAAAAAAAGACATGAGTAAAAACACTAGGACATATTTATTAGAACATGTTTTCGTCCTAGGACCTTGGAAGTGATATAGGTCCCAGGATCAGAATGCTTTTTTTTTAATATATTCTAGTTTTTGCTCACTTGTCTGTTTAAACCACTTGTCTGCATCAGTTACTAAAGTTCATACCGATCCTCAGATTTCCAGTCCCACGACCGTAGCCACTCAGATACAGCCATCGAAAATCTCATCCACTTTTACTAAGAAGGGTTGTAATGGCCACAACCGCAACCCAGTCACGAGTTTTTATGAGAAAAAACGTTCGACCGTTAATTAAGTGTAAGGGACTAGAAACATGTGGTATAAAACTGAGGTTTAACAGCAGCTAACCCGTTCAGTGCGATATACGAATGTGATAGCTTATCCTTAGGAATTTTAATTTTACAGTGAGTGATTAATGTAGTGAGTATTGCAATGAATAATAATAAATCCCACTGATCATATCAGCTAGCAAACAACTGCAACACAAAAAAATACACAGTGCGAAATAGTCTTTTTTTGCAAAGACGAAAAAAACTCACTCAACTTTCACTGAATTAAAATTTAGAACCCCCACCCCCCTTCTTTTGAAGGAGGGGTAATGATTTTAATTCAGTGAAGTCAGCAATTACTCATTCCCACTTCCTTCGAAGTCAGCAAATACTCAGATTCCTGATTGTGCTAATTAATCAGCTTGTCTGACCTAACTAGCCTGATGCGTTGGTACGTCACATCGGAGCTGTGCCATGCTAGGCTTTGCAGCCTATTCATTTGTATACATTCCACATCTGGTTTGAAGGACCAGAAAAAGGAAATTATTTGGAAATCACAGAACAGGTGGGGATCGAACCTGTGTTTGGGGAGCCCTAAAACTCCCAGGCCAGTGAGTTAACCGCTAGGCCAGCTGGCTCTAAAAAGATTCATCCAACTAGGTATGTTTCTACACATCGCAGCAGTCGAGATGTTGGTAAACACTAGTACAGGGCCAGAGTAACATAGAGCCAGAACACACCAGTAAGTGACAGTAGCAGCAGGTACACTTAATAGTTCCACCTGAAATCAGTCGACACAAAGTTAAGAGCCGAACCTCAACATTTGCAAATGAAAATTACATCAACATAGATACCTGGGTGATGGTGTTTATTGTTTTTTAATTGACAT